CTCAAGATACCCCATACCCATATGGTATTTTTATTATATAGATGCCTATAATACCCTTAAACAAAAGGTCAAGTTTCGAGTAACAGGCTCTGTTGTTTAAATGATGGGCTTGACATTAGACAAACACGTAACGTCTAAAATGACATGGTGTGTGGTTCATAATTCCACATGTTGTTTATCCCAGTTTAGCCCATTGTATAAACAACTGTGCATTGTTTAAATAACAGGGATTTTGCAAAAGTCCACTTGTTGTTTAAACAACATGACACTGCAGTGAAACCTTCACCGGTTATTCAAACAACTTCGGCACTTTTCAAACCAAAGAAACACACACACACACACACCTACAAAACTATGTACCCTACAAATGGAAATAAAGGAGAAGAGGAGAGACCAGAATGATTTGTATGAAAGAAAGTTACACCAAAAAAGAACATAGTTATTACTACAGAAGCCGCAAGTCTACACCTAGTATTAACTTATGGTTATGGAGTTGAGGGAGTCGGCACATCACTCTTATATTATCTTGCTTCAACGTCAAAACTTAAGTCCATATTGTGCATGAATATATGAGCACACAAATGTTACATAGTTAAAAATCAAAATTCCATAGTGAAGGTCACAGTAGTAAAAGTATACAGAAAGTTAAACTAACCTCTTTCAGAGCATTAATAAAGCTCCACTTTGTACTATCTTCCCCTTCACAAGGGAGCAACAGATTTCCAGGATATCCTCTAAAATGTATCTGCAGGAATATATAAAAGTAGAATCAGCTAAAAGTGATTAAATCATAAAAACATAATGTATTAAAGTTTTATTTCCAATCAGGGCCTACTCTAGGAGTTGTACTTTGGTTGGCGACTGAGTAAATATTCTTCGTAGAAAGTGAGCATTAAATAAGCTGAGGCGACGGTTATCAAGAAAACCTAGGTCGTTCTCAATTCAATCTTAGTCCAAGAGCAACATCGACTTACTGACATTATATTCCAAATACCGATTTCAAAAACCATAGATAGAGAAAAAATTCATAGCAAGCTAGAGTTACTCCATACTGTTAAATTCCACGGCCGCTCTGGTTCAGCACAAAGAAGATCAAAGAGTGCTCCTGTAGGTATATACCTATCATGGGTATGAAACGTATCAAGAAAAAAGAATTCAGAAGCATTTATCTTCTCATGAACTAAGTACATGAATAAAAAACGAAACTAGATAACCGATAAAAGTTACAACAACAACAATGGCCAACCACATGCATCAATTTCGACATGTAAGCTCAATTGTCCCTTTTCTTTTCTTTTGTCTTTATGTAGGTTGCGGCCCAGGAGAGGGGTAAGAATTCCCAAACTACAAAGATAATATGATTAAGAGATATTTTTTCTTGCTATAACCTTAAATGAGAAGAATTAAAAATACAAATATATAATGTAATATGAACATTACATATGCATACATCTATATGTGTTTCATTTCTGGTATGTCCAGCATACAACATGGCCTACATATATAGGTGTGACAAACCCAACATATATACAAAATGAGTTTTTCCATATTAATTTACAAGAAAGATATTGCTAGCTCAAACAAATCGATTATGAAAAGTTCCATATTTTGCTCTACCCGCATTCATTTAAGTATCGACAATCAAGTAAAATTGGAATCACTCGCTTACCATTAAATCAAAAGTAGGAAAAAGAAAGTAATATACTAGCTTATTCATTTTGGTTCCCATTTAAACTATTTATAACACATTGACGTCATTAAATGTAAAAACTGACTATTATCAATCGCGTAGGGGAAAGAATAAGATTTTATAAAACAAATGACTTCTATGACTAGAAACAAAATGCAACATTACCAACTGATCATGTTTGAAGTTATGTTTGTCCCACACCTACTAGTTACTGAAATGTTATTGCTTAAAAAGTCTGGGACTGTAGGTTGAGCACACTCTCCCATTGACCTATTTTTGTGGATGAGTTCTATCCAAGCCATTTATCAAAAGACAGACGGAATACTTCCTAACCAATCAGCCAACTTAAATACATACCATTTGAGTGGCAATCCTTTGTACTCAAACCATACAGTGTCGGATCCAGGAGGAAGAGAACTGCTAAAGAATGGCTTGATCTGAGGTACCAACAAAGGCAAATACCCCAATCGTGGGGCCAATATCTGAAACACAAAATACAACGAGAAAACAACATGTTGAAGTCAACAAATTGCCAGCCCCTCACACATTCACTAGCATTCTCTGATCCAAATTTGGAAACTTGGGACACCGACAAAAGGGAAAAACATCTAAACGAAACTTAAAAACAGAACAGTTTTCTCAACAAAGGCAAATACCCTAATCGAGGGGCCAATATCTGCACACAATAGAACACGCCAGCCCCCCATTCGCTAGCATACTCTAATCGAAAATTAGAAACTCCGGCAATGATCAAAGGGAAAATATCTAAACAAAACTTAACAGAGTAATCCAAAATTAGAAACTCAGGACACCCATCAAAGGGAAAAACTTAACAGAAAAGTTTTCTCATCAAAATCTTCAAAAAATACATTAGTCATCCACTTTCATTATCTTTTCCGCACCAACCATTATCGCATACCCCCAACAAATTACAATTTGATCATTATTGCACATTTATTCATAAAATTCACCATTATTAATCAACTAGCTATTCTTTCAAAAACCATGCAATAAAATCATTTTTTTAACATTTTTTCAATTGCAAAAAAGCTACCATCATTACGCTCCCCATAAATTTATCGCTACTGTTCCAATCAAAAGAAAATTGTCATTTAATCAAACAACAAGCAATCAAAACCAAAATCGAAAAAAGCTGACAAGGGTACCAGCGCAGGTGGAGGCGGTGGGAGCGTGGTGACTTCAGAATCGTGGAGATGAATCTGAAGCGGTAATGCACCTCCCCATACGTACTGCTGTGCCTCCGTACCTTTGCGATCCATTGCTGATTGCTCTTGCTGATGGTGAAAGGGGTTTTTCGCCTGTGGTCACCTGTGTGTTTCAGTCTACGGGAAGTTAGACATGGTATAAATGCTTTATGTAGCTGCCAACGCTTGTTAAGAAACAATAAATGTGGCCCAATTGATCCTTTCGGGTCTAAATTAATTAGAAACCAGAACAAATGCAGCCCAACTTAACATTTTGGGCCTAAATCTAATAGTTTAGGAAATAAAGACATTATTGTAAATAAATATTACAATAATTATGTGATTAGTGTTAAAGGCAATATTGTTGTTCAAAAATTCTATGTAGTCATCTGATGATTTTCTTATGGTGTCACCCATCACTTAATGTATTGACACATGTCTAAAGTGTATTTATTGCATGACACGTGTCAATACACTATTGGTGAATAAGTGTGGATGGTTCCATAAGCCGAGTCATCCGATGGCTCCATAGCAAAACTGTATTGTTGTTAGTATTTCTGTTTTAACGCTTTTAAGATTTTTTTTATTTTTTTTTTTGCGGTTATTTATAATTAATATTTTTATACCTTTTTGTTATATTAGTTTTATATTGAATTTAAAACAGATTTTTTCACATCATCTATCATATGATATACGTCTTGTGATATCAACAATTTAACTATCTTTTTCTCTTTCTTCATTTCTTCCTTCTTTTTCTCCCTTAATTTCCCCATCTTCTTCTGAAAACATAAATAGCAGACACAAAACAATTTATTAACCTATCTTTTACTCTTTCCACTTCTCTTTTTCCTTCCTAATTTCTTCTTTTTTTTATTCTCGCAGACCACCCTCAGAGGCTGGGCTCTGTGAGGCGGTGCGTCAACCGACATGTGCTTCTCATGATCGGTGATTAGGTGGTGACATGTGCTGCTCGTGACCGACATGTCTTCTTCTTCGTCGCACCTTCTCTGAATTATTAAGTTTGGGATTTATTCGGACCCAACCCGACCCAATCCGCTTCATGTGAAAAATAAAATAAAATAATTTCACAATTAATTATAATATAACAAACAATTTATTAACTAAGTTCAACAATAAAAAACTACAAAAAATTATATTATTTTTTAAATAAATAACGAGATATAATTTTTTATCTTTTATAATCTAGCTAGTAATATAACATGTCAAAATTAAATATTTAAATTTTTATTGTACAATTAACAAAATTGATAAAATAAATAATAAAAAATAAAATAAATTTTAACCATTAAACCAAAATTGTAATAAACAATTTAATTTTTAATATTAATAACACATGACTACCTTTATATTTATAATTTTCAATGCTTGCGAGTAAATAGGGTAATCGAATCAGGTAACGGATTTTCTATTATATTCGCATCTGATCCGACCCAACCCAACCCAGAAATTCGAGTATCATAATTCTACTCGAATCCGACCCGAAACCAGACAATCTCAAATTTACCCGACCGAAAATACGGGTTACATGCCTGACCCTTTGAAATGTCTAACTTCATACTCGACCAATAACACCATATTCACTTTATTATATACATAAATTATATTATCCTGTTGACAAAAGTTACTTGTAAAAATCTGATAAAATCTGGAATGTGAGACAAGATAGACTAAAAAAGGGCAAAAAGAACTAATTAGTAATTACTTAGAGAGAAAATATCAAATGGTTAAGCACCACCCAAAATTTAATATCTATTCTATCCTAGCAACTTCTCTGTCCCCAACGCTCCACTAAACTGCCGAAGCGTGGCAGCAAACCTATGGAGAGTACGAACCTTTATTCATACTCGCGCGCGTTATTTGGAAGAAAAAGGCAAAAGCATGAGAATTTTTCAGAAAAAGCGCTAGGGCTGGCCTACAATCACCACGTGTCTTTCAATTCCAGCCACAAGTTTGCCATGGATTTCTCGATCGTTCTACCGGAAAGCCCCTCAACTTCCCGCATTTTACAGTTTAGCCCCGATGACGTGGCGCCCATACACCTCTTCTTCTGCCTTTTTGCTCCGCCCAACCCTAAACATTACCCATAGATTGTTTTGCTTCCCTTCACAATTCTCTCTCTTTGTAGTTTGAAGTACTTACAAATATATTCCTCTGTTTGATCAAATTTTCATTTTCTTTTTGTCAGCCTCTTTGACTAAATTTCATTTTCAAGCTTACAGCCCATTCCTTGTGTTTCTTTTTGCTTTAGTTTTGTTGAACCCCAGTTCCTATTTTTTCTCCAGCCAGTCAGTTTGGTTTTTAGTCTTGGATCAAGTCTGAAAAAGTTTCGATATTTCTAATGGACAGAGAAAATATCTCGGACAGTGGAGTTTGATTTTTCTGGGATTAGGACATTTATTCTGGGATTCAGAGGTTCATTGGATTGAAGGGAGCGTTTTATTTGGAGATTTTGATGGTTTCTGAAACTATGGCTGAACAGGTAATAAGCTTAGGTCAATCAATTTATGTCTAAGATTCAGTTTCAGGTAGTTTAGGTGGATAATATCGTTATATTTTCAACCCCATAATTTTTTTTTCTTTTTTTTATTTTTTATCTGTTTGTCTTTATTAATTAGCTAGGAGGGGAAGGAAGAATATGATTATTACAACTATAGAAATTTTTTTAAATACTCGTGTAAAATTGAGAATAGATCTACAAAAGCAGAAACCTTTCTATTATGGATCATGTGACAAAAAAATATTGGATTAGTTGAATATAATAAGAAAGATATATTCTTGGAAAATTTTGCTTATTTTATTTTTGTCTTTATGAATTTGTTGGCATCTATGGAATATGCATTTTTGTTGATGATATTTAATGGTGCTGAGGGTCTCTGAATATGTCTTCAGTTTCTGGGTTTAGTGATGTACTTTGAGATTATGTGATTGCGAGCTCAAATTTATGAAAGAAATTTATGTTAGTTAATTAGCATGTCTAAAATGAGCAATTGAAGACAATTACAATTTCAGATATGAAAGGCGTGGTATTGATTTCACAAGCTTTTGAGTAAAAGTCTTATATTCGAGTTTCTAAAACACACAAAAATATTTTATTCAGATCTACCAACTGAAGAACCAACTTTTTTTTTGCGGAATTATCTTATTAACAATTAGTATTCTGCTGCAGGAGGAAAATGGATGCAGGGGATTAGACTCTCCTTTGCTGACAAGTGTAAACACTTCATTGGAACAGCTTAACAATCCTGGGGATGTGTTTGCTCCAAAGGTTTATTCCTCTATATAATCATTTGATTTTAAGGAGGCAGGGGCACAATCTTTCAACTCTCAACTTATCTTTGTACTCCTTTTCCTTGTTTTTATATAATCGTGTAGGTGAGGAAGCCATATACAATTACTAAACAAAGAGAGAGGTGGACTGAGGAAGAGCACAAGAAATTTCTTGAGGCGTTGAAACTTTACGGCAGGGCATGGAGAAGAATTGAAGGTGGACAATGAAAAAGAATACTAACTATTTTCTTTAACGCATGCATCTAAGATTTGTGTNAAAGTATTCCTTTTCTTCTCAGAGCATGTGGGCACGAAAACTGCAGTGCAAATTCGAAGTCACGCACAGAAATTTTTTTCCAAGGTTACATAACATTATCTGCCATTATATCTCTGTATGCCGTCTTTTTCGGTAAGTCATATCTTTTAATGACTCCGAGGCGTGCAAACCATTCTTTTTTATAGCAATTGTGCCTAATATGTTACTTTGCTTTTGCGCAGGTCACTCATGAAACAAACACCAGCGATTGTAATTCTGTGAAGTCAATCGAGATTCCGCCGCCAAGGCCCAAGAGGAAGCCCATTCACCCTTACCCTCGTAAGATGGTCACTAAGGGCGAAATCGGAATTCCAATACCCGAGAAATTTTCGAATGCTGTGGAGCAAGAAAACCAGTCCTTAACTTCCGTTTTGTCTGGGATTGGTTCGGATTCATCTGGAGGGGCAGATTCTTGTACGCCTAATGGCAATCGATCGTCAGTCTCATCCGAAGCGCCTAAACTCGTATCGGAAGACATATTGTGCCTTTTGCCCGAGCGTGAGGACAAAAATTCGAGTATAGATGGAAGGATACATATGGTAAATAATAGCTTTATCTATTTATGCCTCGTTTACTTAAGCTAATAGGATATAATAGGATAGAATGGCTGGCTGGATAACTCATGTTATCCAACAACGTTTACCAATCATGATGGGATGGGATTGGATAATAAGTTGTACTTTGTACTTTTATCCTGGCTTGCGGATTATTTTGTCCGGTCTTGAGGACAATTTAATCCCACCTTAGAAATGACCATTTTGTCCACAAATTGGCACGTGAAATGTCCCTTTTACCCTTAGAAGGCCACCGATTTTGGCCACATAAAATTGTCACGTGAATCCCACACGTTTACCTCATATTTTGCTTTTTATCATGTCATTTTAACCAGGTTATTAATTGCTTGATTGTTTTTGCCTTAAACTGCATCATGTTTTCTAACCATTGGACACAAGCTGATGTGTAAAGTTGATGGGATTAAACTGTCTAATCCCATCATCATTTTAAGTAAACGAGGCCTTCATAGCTTATGTCTATGCTATATGATTTTAAATTTATGCATTGTCTAACTAGTGTGTCCTCTCATTTTTCTTAAACAGGAATCGGATCTATCATCCCAAAATGACACTTGTGTTAACAAAGACCCAAACGTGTCAGCCACGCAAAGATTGAAGCTTTTTGGCAAGACATTATTAATCACGGACCCAAGCGGGCTCTCTGATAAGGCCCAGATAGATTGCAAGCCCGAATTATTGTTAGACAAAAAAGAAGAAAATTGTTCAATCCCTTGGGGAGTCGTGCCATTGAACTTTCTCAACGATGATTCTATTTTGATGCATTCTGTATCTTTTCCTTGGTTGACCCTTTGTAATAATGTTCAAACCCTGGAAGTGCATAACCCGACTCCAGTCAGAGCCCGATATTTGTGTGATAATAATAACAATAATAAGGTAAAGCCGGATGATAATGAGCTTTTCTCCTTCAAAAGGAAAGGGGAAAGAAAATCTTTTTCGTCCTACAACCCGAGCAAGAAAAGGATTTTGGGTTTTGTGCCGTACAAAAGGTGTTCGGACAAATGGGATTCTTCCTTATTGCAGGCTGAGAGTGGTGAGGAAAGGGAGACGCAGCATGTTCGACTCTGCTTGTGATAGGCAGTGATGT